TATTCGTCCGATTTGCATGATGGTCACGGCGTTGGATTCAGGAAGCATGTGGCCATCGCGCTATAAGCCCACATTTTTTAATTTGTACTTGGAAGTTTGAGAACTAATTTCAAATTCGCGTTTTTGCTAAATTTTTAGAAGAAGGTCATCGTAGCGCAAATTCTATTTTTAAAAGGCGTCAAATACCGTTTGCAGATCGAAAATCGAAACATTGGTTCAGACGTTATCGGTAAGTAAATTTTACTTATTTTGGTGCTGCCACGTGGTGGCTACAAATTGTACTAGTGTCGGGACATTTAGCCTTAAAGACATGCAGAATCTGCAACTAGAGAGGTAGAGAGGGAGGGAGAGGTGGAGAAACGCAGGGAAGGGGAGACGATGAGAAGGGAGAAACCAAGAGGAGGGAAAACAGAGGGGAGAGACTAAGAGAGGGGGAAGGAGGGAGGGAAGGAAGGAAAAAGGGGAGGATGGGCAAAAGAATGTCTGCCGGGTTTCTGTTAGTATTTATATATCGAAGGAAACTAAGTTTAATTTTATAATTAATTGTATTATTTTTAATTTCTAGAATGATTTAACCGTAATAATATTCAGAACTGAAGTTAACTGTTTTACAATAAAGCCCAGCAAAGTGGAAGTAGATTTTACAAATCTTTCATAGTGACTCAAACCCAAGTATTTAACTTACAAACGAAACATCATCTTCTGCGTACTCTTTCCCTTGCTTCTTCCTGCTAATACAAGTGGTAGGAAACCTGGATTAGAACCTGTGAATCAAATAGAAGGGAGCACAAAGCAAAACAAAAAACAAAAATAGAATTTTTATTTCGCTCAAAATCAACTCAATATTTCAACTTGAAGCTTAAATTACGCAACTCCTGTACGCTGGTTTTAACACTGGTACCAAAGTAGTGATAAGAAACGGAGTGTAATGCGTTGCAATGCAAGAAATGGTAAGAGGTTGGAGTTGGATGCGGTCAGTCGATCTGCAGCTGTCGGAAGGAGCCGTGGGCGCCGAAGAGCTGCGCGTAGGCGCCCTGCAGCGGCGAGGAGGCGCCGGGCGGCCGTCGGCCCTCGTCCACGCGCCGCGCCTCTTGCGCCAGCAGCCACTCGCGCCGCGCGCACAGCTCGCGCACCAGCGCACCTGCGCACACCGCAGCGCTGGTGCTCGCTCTTTTAAAGCAACAATGAAACACATTCCCCTCCTCACATGAAGTTATTTCAGGGGGAAAAAACTAACCCAGCAGCGCATAAGTGATAATTACGGAACCTTTGTATTATGTAGATTCTATATGAAATGACCGCTTAACAGTAATGCTCAGATAATAGAGTGAGACACATAGGACCAAAAATATCGAAATGAATACGAAATAGGGAAGTAGAAAATGTCGGAATTATACATAAGAAGAGCATCGGGGAAAACGAAAGAAAAGCGAGTACTCGTATTTGGAGTAAAATTTAGCAAGAAAATAACCTAAAGAAATAGGTCAGACACAAAAAAAGCGACAAAAAAGAAACACAAAGAGTGAGAGAATAGTGATTCCGGGTGCGTCAACTAATGACATCATTAGTCCCAGAAGTGTAATAAACCGTGCCGGAGTATTTCACCGCTTCACACTCTCGCCCAAAACATAACAACATATACAGGTGAGTAACGTAACTTTAACACCTGCAAATTTTGAACAGTTCAGAGTTATTGCAATGCGGTTTTCACAGAAGTGCATGATGAAATGGGGCTAGTTAAAACATATATTCATTTCCATATCATTATATGCAGTTTACGAAATATTGAGGCAAGGTTTTTTTTCAATGGAACTATACATATTTTAGTATATAATGACGAGCGTAAAAAGACGAATCCAATTATACATATATTGATCCGAGTTCCAAAGAAAGAAGTCGTGACGATGGTCCACAGCCGCAGATTTAAGTGGCGCGGCGGCGACGTCACGATCTTAAGCGAGGTGGAACCAAAAAGACAATAATGATAGCCAGATAAGGGATTGCGAATGGCCATTGGTCAAAAAGCCGAAAACGGGGGAAGTCCGTGAAAACTGCTCTGCAATAACGTCAATCGTTCAAAAATTCCAGGGGTTGAAGTTTCGTGACTCGCTCTGTGTATTCGGTGTTGCCTATTGTCATCGATATTTTCTTTTGTGGATTAACTGCGTCATAGTCTTATTTGGTATTTGGTGACTATATATATAGATGTGATAGATACTTTCTTGGAATGAGTAAGTCCTCATTCCTGTCCATTCAAACCTGCAAAGAATGACAACGGAAACATCCGTTCGCCGAATGTGCACAGCATACAACTTGTTACCAAACATTGAAAAAATTCCATTGTGATAAACAGTCACCTTTGATCGCTTAGTATGTACTCCTGAAGATGTGCAACTCGAATATTGTACGGTATGGGGCATTGAGACGTGCGACGAGAAAATGAGATCGTATTAGCCCGTGTTCCAAACGAAGAAACCAAATTAGAGGGAACATGTACAAACGGGAAGAAAGTAAGCAATTACAACGCAAACTAGAATATTACCGTGGTATTCTGCGATGGTACCGCAGGTACCTCCGAACTCCTCTGGAAGGATGTCCTTGGGGAACTCCTCATAGAACTCTGCCATGTCTCCCGAGTGGAAGTGAGTCTAAACAAACATTAGAATACTGTTAATATTTTAAGCTTTTCCGTCACATATGTAGGTAATATGTAACATGTCTTAGCAAATATTTCAAAATTCATATATCAAATAGCAAATATTTAAAAATTACAAAAAAATGTTAACTCGCACCTGAAATTATCAAATGACAGCAATGAATTTGTGAAAAGTATGGTTGGCATTTTCCTGTAGAAAATAGTGGAAGTATCAAAGTAAATGTATTAAAATAAATCTCATATTTTAATAAGCTCAATAACAAGGTTAATAATAATAAGGAATACATTTAATAAGTAAAAAGAAGTTGCCAGTTTGAAATTAATTAACTTCATTAAATTCTCAAGAAAGTTAATTTATTCAAAGTAAGGAGTAGCAGATCTTAAGTAATGGCTCTCTTCTACCAAGAATACCAGCACGAATAAATAATATGCATTGCAGAGCCACTTCCAATAAAACCTTTTAACAGCGCAACCTTTTTGATTGATAACAGGGTCCACTGTCCTGACCCTGCTCGTCCCTTCCTTCCTTCGCTGAACGTGACGTTTGGTACCGCTGGCAGTGATTATTGTATTAGACTCAGAAGGCGTCAAATGCAGGACCTCAGCTGGTCATTGAATCACTCCATAAAGCCAGCCGAGAGGATGGTTTCACTTCACCTCGATAACAACGCCCCCTCCTCAAGATTATTTACAAGGCGATATACCTATGGCCAACAGGATTAAAACTTTTTAAATGACATTCCAGTTTAAACGATTAACCCGGTTAATGCGATTTATATTTCGAGATTTTTAATAAAAACTGCACAACGTTTCAGTTTTGGTTTTGGATAGGATTCCAATTGACTAAATCATGTTGATTCCCTTTCATTTCTCTAAATCACATTGTTTTTATTCATTACTTGAACCGAATAGTTCAAAACGTACGTGACTATGTTCGTTTTTTGTACAAAGTTTTTAGAAGAACGTGGAAGAGTAAAAAAAAAGTAGTGCATTTTCTGGGGAACCATCCGATAAAAAGAACGAGAATATCTTACACGACTAACTGAAAAAAAACCAGAAAACTCATATCTGGTGTTTACGCTGCGAGTCGCAAAACGTTAATCTAGCGTAAAAAGCATGAAATTGAAGTTGCATTAAATCACTGAATTTTTTAAAAGGAGGAACAGTTTCTTTCGTTAATAGTTTCAGCAATATAAAGAATTCTATGAGAAATAATGGTTTCGATTTACAATTATGCGGTTTTAACGGTTACAGTTTCTTGGTGAAACCTTGTTATAACCCAGCCTTGCCTTAGCAGTCCAGGGCAGCTGCGACTCTCGAAGTTGCCATAGGGTAACTCAATTTTTTAAAAACATTTTCTGTCACCTTTTTGAGAGAAGGTTTTCGTGCCTTTGAGGCGTCGAACGCACCAGCCCTTATGGGCTTTTTAATAGGAGTAATCTTTCGTCACAAGCCCTGTAGGGGCCGCTGAGTATTCCTAGTTGCGTCAGTCACAGTCAAGTTAGGGAACCGCCAGCAGACTGTCTTCACGCTCGCGACTGCCTGGCGCTCTGTGTCTCCTACCAATCGGCCAGAATTGCGTCACATTGTGAACAAACACCCTTCAGAAGACAATGTGAATGATTCGTGGCGGCTTCGTCAAAGCTGCAACGAGCACGCGCAGAAGCGTCGTGGGGCGGAGGGCTCACCATGCGCTGCAGCTCGGGGCTCATGAGCGGGCGCACCAGGGCGAGGGCGCGGTGGCCGACAGCGCCCAGGCGGATCACGTGCACGGCACTGATGCGCAGCGGCGCGGCCTCCTGCAACAGGCATTCACCTTGCAGTTGCTGCGCTCATTAGGCCGGGAGATGGCGGAGCGCCGCCCAGCCGGGACTGGCTCTAAGCTCCCGACAAGAGTGGTATACTGGCCGATGACTTCAATCAGCTGTCCAATCGGGAACTTAAACGTCACCGTGATGAGATTGACGCTGTTGATTAGATGCCAGCGTAACCGCTGATTGCGCCATGCGGCGCGAGTGAGCGCACCTGCACGAAGGCCATGAGGCGCTGCAGCGCTGGCAGCGGCGTGCGCGCGAGGTGCGCCAGCGACACGTGGAGCGCGTCCAGCAGCAGGACGAGCGGCGCACGGCCGGCGGGCGCCTGCGCCTCCTGCAGCCCCACCACCTCCATGAGCGCCGTGGACAGGCGCAGCGAGCGCGCGCCGTCGAAGCGCCCGGGGTCGAAGGCGGCGGCCGGCGCGTAGCCCAGCACCACCACGCGCTGCCCGCCCGGCGCGCACCGCGGCAGGCGCGCCACGCGGCTGCGCAACAAACCACAAGCGACTCGCAACTCGCGCGCTACACCTGAAGAGGAACTCGACATTTCCCTGGTGACTTCGTGTTTGGGCGAGCAACCAATTTTCTATTTAAACGAATGTAGGGTATCTTTGGATTTAATAAAGCACTATAACTGTGTCTACGCGTCTGAATTAATTTCAAATCCGCTCGTTAAACCAGAACTTCCATTACCCCGGGGCTCGTATGTGCAAGGAATGCCGTATTAGCGAGAGTATGGTATATTTCTCATTTCCACTGCGAGCACCAATTCAAAGAATGCTACACATTAGAATGATTGAAAAAGAAAAATATTTAATTGCTATTCGGTTTTTTCGCCCACTGCAAATCGACCGAAGTCTTTCTCAGTGTTTCTGCTGACGACACTGTTTACGTCACTCGACTCAAAGCCACTATTAAGCCGCTATTAAATATTTGCTAGCGGCGTTTTAGCTGCTGCAAGACCCCCATTAAATAAACTAGGTGCTAAAACACGTGCATATTTTTCGCTTCATTTCGAATTTTTGAATATTCAGAGTCAAAGAAAATGAGATTTGCGTCATTTCAAAACGTCCTTTGCTTTATCTGCGAAAAAAATACATAACAAATTGGAGGCTTCTTGAGAAAATGTATTATAAAGTGAGTTAACTCCAAGCAGAAATTATGCGAAAACTATTCCTTTTTCCAAAACGTTTTTTTAAAGTTCTTATTTTCTAAAACAGATTCCATTTAAGAATAATATACTTATGAAATATAGCAATATGTACTTATGGAATCATAATTTTATGCAGTTTTCGAAAATATAGAGAGTTTGCCGAAAATGCAAAAAGCACCTCTCAGTTTTGTTACATATGAAGAAACATTGCAAGGGAAAATTTCACAAGGTTTTGAGAAAATAATCGGTTAAAATTTGCCTGTATTTCATGTACGCGAAAACGACTATTTTTTTGCAAATAACTTTGACCAGTAAATTGCATTAAGGAAACTAGTGGTGCTACAACAGCACATACTGTCTTGCGTTACTGGAAACAGCTACATTATATAGAACTATTGCATTCTCTGCACTACTTACATCTCGGCTATTACTTCCGAACGTCCAATTCAACCAAGAAGCAAGCAGCACACTATTGCCTGCGCAGCGTTGTCAAAACTATGTGCAGTCGCATTGCGAATAATATCAATTCTTTCAATAATATCAATACTTATATCCATTTGTATTCATATTTCAACTTGGTTGTCGGTTAGTTATTGTCCATCATGCACAGTTGACAAATTAAACTAATGAACTAATTAAATTACTAATATTCTACAATTTGCAATATTACCGGCTTCTTTTAATTATTGGCACCGCCTCAAACGAAGCGCATAAAAATATATCTTTGTGGCAGAGAGTTCGTCAGATTGACCACAGGGAAGTCCCCCCCCCCCCAAAGAAAAAAATAATGAAAGTAAAAATCTCTGTTCTTCAAGACTGTAAGAAACAATTTTTCCTTACCAGTCTAACATTTTAATAAAAAAAAGTTAGTACAGGAAAATTAGTACAGGATCTTATGGAAAAACTTTTGTAGGCATAGGTTTCTATAAGTTATTGAAGACTTTATAAGGGTAATATAACTTTTCTTTTATTCAATACGAAGAAAAAAGTTTTTCAGGAATCAAATGTTAAATGTAACATATCTCACCGGGAATTCTGAGGAAAAAATTATAAAAAATAGTGGGGAATTCATCTCAAATGGAAGCACTAGTTCTCGTGCTAGGCGTTATGTTGTTCAAATCATAGTGTCAGCAGCACGGCTTCTCTTCAGGCACGAAGGAAACCGCGATAAAAAAAATACGTATTATCAAATAGCTTTCGAATCATTTCTAAAAGGTTAATTAGGAATTTTAATTAGTTAAAAAGCTGTTTAAATAAATCTTTTATCACCACCACCATTCGACGTTCAACAACCCTCTGCTTCTCGACTATCAATTGTAGAACTTTTGTGCAAATTTCAATTAGTTTTTGTGGATTTCTTGAAAGACAATATACAAATCCTAACTTGCTAACTAATCAAGCACCCAACTGTCTGGTTTCGTTGAAAAAAAAACCAGTAAATTTGCAGCGGCCATTTAATTTTGTCGCCAAATTACACAAAAAGCCTCATATTTTCAAAAAATTGAACACGATCTTATTGGAAGATCTATGTTTGATGAACACCTTTCATTAAAAAAATGTATCTTCAAAATTGGAGTTATCTAAAGATGCTGAACAAAGAAATTGTTCATATTTTGAAAAAATAGGGTTTGCACAAACATGAGAACTCTACCATTTTTTTAAACGTTCTTCAGACTATCAAACAACAAAATTTAATCAATAGCGACGAAGACGTTTTTGAGAAAAAATTGTTTAAACAAAATTAAATTGACTCTAATTCACAAAACAATTACGCGAAAAACACTCAGTTTTAAGAAAAAAAATATATCTTTAATATTTTTGTTTTAGAAAGGCGGACACGCAATTTGCCGTCAATCGAATTTTCGGTATCAAAAAGGATTCAGGCTAGACTGTGTTAGAGGATTTTATTCCTAAATTTAGCAACAGGATTTATCCACTTTTTCGTTACCATAGCCCGACTGCAATACTTTTTCTGGAGAAAATTCGTAGTTTTTCACCGTACCATTACATAACTCTCTTCTTACAAAGAATTCGTAAGGGCGAAAGTAAAAAGAACTCTGAATCCTGTAATTTTTGTTGCAAATTATGCGACAAATTGAATTATGGCGAAATATGCATTTTTTGCGATAAAAACGAAATTTACCAGAATAGCATTATAATTTCACTAAAATAATACGATAATCGTATCTCAATTTTTCTATGAGCACAATAAAAAACGGAGATTCTACTGAGTTTTTGATTCAGCTGAACAAATTGCACGGGAGTATATCAATAATTCACGTTTACGGAGTGAATGTGCGTACGATGTGATTGCTAGAATACCGGACTAATTAACTACTAAGCTAATTAAATACTAATTAACATATGAAACTGTACTTTATTAGACATTGTGTAACCTTAAGCATGTTTATGTCGGAATAAAAACAAGATATCGCCGGAGGCCGGCCAAGATGTTACGACAGCCCATGCAAGGGGTAACGTGGGAAGAAACGACCCCTCCTGCCTTCGTGGCCATTCAAGGCCCATCACAAGACAGGAGTTCATAGGAAAGCTACACGAGTTGTGAAATACAAACAGTCCAAAAAGAGATTATGGCCATAAAGAAGGAAAATAGAATACAGGATGTCACGGAAATTATATCGGAGGCAATGTAACTTGTTAGCACTGTATGAGCTATTAGTGCGAGAATCTACTGCCAGATGTCGATAGAAAATGATTCTGTATAAGGAGTTCTTGATTGTAGTTTAAACCATATTAGAAATAAATTTGTTATGTTTTTAAAGGGTGTTGTGCTAATTTTATAGTCATAATTGCAACAAGGTTGTTCCTACATAAGATTCCTTATCCCTTTTTTCATATCTCACCAGAAACTTTATGTGTGTCTTTTACCTATAGGATTAAGGGTTACCTCGGGTTAAGTTGGGTGACAATTTAAAAAAAAAACACTATACCGAATGGAGTTAATTAAAGCATGCATTTATTTTAATTTCATCTCATGTATTTTAAGAATTATTGAGGTAAGTTTGCTTTTTCAAATGAAACTATACATTTTTTAGCTTATTATGACAAACGTAAAAATAAATAACAATAAGTATATATCATTGAATACATGTTAGACGAGTATGTTTTTAGTAAGTTCGGTTTTTTGCGACTCATGTTTAACGGATATTGTTACGTTTCGAGCGCGCTTAGCAGTGAGAACGATGCGTAACCTTGGGTGGTGGACTGTTTTATTCAAAATATCCGTCAAATACGCAAGTAGCAAAAAACTCGAAAGTTAAAAAAAGCTTATCTAACATAGAGCAATATGTATATCATTGGATTCGTCTTTTTAAGCTCGGCATGGAAGGAAAAAATGTATGAAAAATATGAATATGAAAGAACCAAAGTTACCCCAATTTCTCGTAAAATACATATGATAAAATTGAAACCAATACATGAATCAATTAGCCCCATCGGACTTCCGACTTACGGCAAACGCAGAGGGATTCGCCGTGACGTCACGCTCTCCCTTTAAAAAGCGGAACAGCTGACCGCTCCCGCCCCTTTCTGTACGAGACACCGAGGTGAGCAGACGAGTGGGGTGAGCGAGGCCGATAGGGCGTAGAGAGAGCAGGAGCGAGTTGTAGCAGAATTAGGAAGCTGTGTAGTATTCGACATTTGTTCAGCAATTAATTTAACTTTGCGAAGTTGGAGAAAATTTAGGAAGTTACGTAGTATTCGATATTGGTGCAGCAGTTATTTGAAATGGGTGCAGTTGTAGGAGATTTAGGGCGGAAAATGGTAGCCGTCAAGAGAAAGATGAGCTTAATTATCACGAGGCGTCATAATACTTTTAATTTACCAACAAAAGTGTAAGGTGTTGAAGTACGCTGCTGGTAACACGCGTCAGAACTGAATATCACGCGTCGGCGTGCTACGGGCAAGTGTAGCGAAGAAGTGCGTGAGGAGCCGGGAGCCAAGCAAGAAGCGTCGGCGCCGATTCCGAGGGAAGGAAGACGCTGGCAACGCTGGTTAGAGGACTTCGAGGACACCGTGGGAGGGTGGTGAGGACAAGTGGAACGACGAACGGCGGTCGAATCTAGGACAAGGTCAGGCGCGGCGACTGTGCGCGCTTCCGCAGGTATTACTCGCGCAACTTTTCTTGAACGATGACCTTGATCCCCCTCCCTTGTGCAATAAACAGTTGAAGGCAAAAGCTCGCAGCGGGCACTGATGACAACCTTCCAAGCATTAAAACTTCGTTGGCGCGAAATAAAAGCTAGTCAAAGCCAGTTGCTTTCATAGTGCAGAACCCCTGTTCACATTTATTGTCAATATCGAAAGAAATGGCTGAATCAGGTCCAGGTTCTTCAAGGGAGTCACCTAAAGCTCCCGAAAAAGTTAAGCACAAGATGCAGTTTTGACTTTCATTTCACAGACGTTGGCATTACTTAAAATACTCTAGTGGCCGACTTTGTAACTAATACCCCCAATCCACCCGAAATCGTTAATCCATCGTTCAAGAAAAGTTGCCCGAGTAATAATACATTTTGTAGCGGGAGTTCAGAGCAGGCAGAGCCACGAGTGCTAAAACAGCAGCAGAAAGACTACAGTTCAAAATTTGCATAACCAAGTAGATTTTAGTACGAACTAGATTGCGACAAATGACGGGAAAGGCAACATTAAGTCAGTAATACACTTGATTTGTGTGTAATGTTAACGGAGAAAGTATTGTAAATAGCAGTGTAAAACTTTTTTTTATTTGTGTGTAATATTTTCAAGGGAATTAACTGTAAATCATCTAGCAATTTGTTGCGATTATTTGAATCAAAAGAATTGTGTATAAGTATGAATAATTTACTGTGTTATGATCAAACGAAGGGATTTAACGTTTCGTTGCTTTCAAACGGTGCTGGCCAAGCAGTAGTTTCCGTGCACGGGCATTTGTGAAGGGAATTTTTGGAGGGAGATATTCAATTCAAAGTTGACAACTGATGCTAACTTTTCAAAGTTATTTGCTATTTGTTTAGCGCCTGTTACCTGTGGTCATATTCTGCAGAGAATATACACACTGTTTTACCTGATTGTGTGTCTTAGCGTATATCTTTCTCATACCCCAAAGATCCTCCCCCCTGAGGTTTTAAAGCTAGACTTAAGGATTCGGTCCGACGCTGACGTGACCACAGGGTAGTACGCGTTAGAATAATATTATATAACTAAAATGAACAAGCTCCGCGTTGGGAATGCCAATTTCTAACATAATTAAACCATTCTAATTTATCAACTATCTTTAACTAAACATCTTATCATTGCCCAAGCTGGATAACCATTTGCTGCCGTCTTATATATATTTATATATAAATTTAATTTTCCCTGCTATGCCCGTAATTTATTTCTCTAATAATTCATAATTTGGCTAGCTCTGTTTTTCAATTATGATCTTGCGACAATATCGTTTCTATTAAGATCGTACAACATCCGTTACCTTACCTTCTGCATGTGGTTGTGTGATTCTGTGCAGAATTCACAATTCTTGGAACTTCTGTGGAATTTACTACCTACTGACTTGATGGAAATTCAACGAAATATAAGTTTTTTTCGAACAAAAAATAACATTTATTGCTACCTTCCTTATTCTACTAACTCTAACATTCTCGAGCTCGTCATTAATTCATGATTCTATGGACATTAAACATTATTGAACCGTATGGCTTTGATAAAGTCCGTAAGCTTACGGAATGTCTTCTCGGTTGATTTGATGCCGCAAGGTCCAAAAGGGGATTCCTGGGTCCTCCTGTGGTACGATTTATGAGACGGAAGTCCGTGAAAACTTTGAAGGTTACCCGACTGTTGCTAATTATACAGTCGCTATTTAGAAAAGCTACATTCTGCTCTAATATTATGCGACGCTATTTCCCTCACTACCCATCAGGTGAAACATTCATCGCGATTCCTATTTCGCTTAGAATATAATTTTAAATCCCACTGGAACTAACACTCATATAATTCCATGAACACGAATTCTAAATGATTTTTAAATGCAAATTCAATACACGAAAACAAATATAACTATTATTAAAACATTTACCCACTTTAAACTCAAGAAACAATATTGCTTAGCTCGACTACTATAGATTAAGAAAACAAACATTTTCCCACAACATAATTCTATTATCGCAAATTGAAATTTTGTTTAATGTGTACCATGTAACTGCTTGGATCGCTTCCGTGAGTGAAGAATTCGCTTCTTTATGCTAAAGATAATTTTCAACGCCCTCCTTAGTTGTATGGATTCAATACATGTATCTTGCCGCTATTCGACAATCAATCTAGTGATCGCTGTAGTGCGGCCTGAAAGTTATAGTAGTTGGAATAATAATGGATAATAAATAATAATAATATCCGATTAAGATAGAAATATAATAATAATAATAATAATAAAGTAAATCATATTAAGTTGCGCAGTGGCTCGGGCATCAGCCCGCTCTTCCGCTACCACATGTCACAATATACATGAGTAATGTATATAAATATTAAATTACGAAAAGTAGATGTTATTTAAATTTATATATTTATATAGTTCGTTGCTATGCTACGCGTGTTCTTTGCATTTTAACATTCTAGATGCATCCATTACGTCGTCTTGCACTAGAGTGACATTCTGGTATGTCACAATATGTATTGTGTGTGCATGTATTATATATAAAATACTCAGTCTCTTATTGCCGACTGCAAAAAGTAAAAGCGAAATTAAAACGAAATGGCCGACTCTTTTTTGCGTAATTGAAGCAAAAACGAGGAAGAAATGCAGGAGCTCACAAGGCCTGGAGCTGCTCGCGGTTGTCGGCGTCCTCCGGGTCCCGCCCGCTGAACAGCTCGGGCGCGTGGGTTCGCATCGTCCAGAACTTGTCGAGCAGTTGCTTGGCGCGCTGCAGGCTGTACTCGCTGCATGCCAGGAACGGCGCCAACTCCTCATCTGCCACACATCACGTGGACAAAAAGCATTCATTCATTCTTTGATTAGTTTTGGAAATCGCGACTAACACTAAGGACATTACTCCCAGCAATGTGGTACAGGTTTCATCCCGTGTGGGGCGACATCTACCTGCACGCGGGCTTGCGGGTTTCCGCCTCCAGGAACACCGCCTCAGCCGCGACCAGCTCTGTTTCCGATTGGTCTGGAGGAGTAGCGTATGGAAGTGTGAATATTTAATATAACAATATTATCTTTCACTATATTTTCTATCAATTTTAATGTCCTTTCTAGTAGTATGAACTATGATATTGTGAAAATATGCATCCCATACGAATTAGCGGTCATTGTTGCTTGTTGCTACCCATTGATGTAACGCTGCACTGATAACACAAGGCGATAATGGCAGCTTCCGTTGGTTCGGGTTAATATACGCCAATAATTTTATTTATGGGTAAAATGCGCATCGCCCCTCGTTGATATTGTATGTAGAACGGGAATACACTGATTTCAATGGTAGAATGCTGCTTTCGTTTAAACGTTTGAATTTAAACTAGTAGTGCTAAAACAGCACATACTTTCTAGCTTTTAGTAATAGTTATATAATATATTTTATACTAGTTATGTATTACATTTTTTAAGTAAATTATAAAATAAATGAATGATTAATCATTTGAAATTTAAGCTATTCCTTTTCCCTTACATGAAGCCCCAGGGACTTTTCAAAACAAAAAGTATCTTCGTTTTTGTTCCACAGAATGAAGGACATTTTAGCGAATGATGCCGATCTCATTGTTGTCATCGGAAAATTGATTATGAGATTTCAACGGAAATCCACATTTTGGGGTTCCCTGATACCGAAAAAGTGGTATTTTTCAAAACGCCCGTCCGTCTATGTGAACAACACTACCGCATAAACCATACGAAGACTTTTTCCAAATTGAAGAAACCCCAGGCCTGAGTCGAAGCACTGGGATTTTGAAAACCATTCGTATCTGGGAGACCCCAGACACCTGGCATATTTTAAAAATTTTCTCGAAAATGCCTCAAATTTCTTTACATTTCTTATAAGAATAGAGTAAAATGTACTTATAAATGTGGAATAAAACCGATTTCCACGGTTATGTTTGGTATACTCTGGTATACATATAAAATATACATATAGTAACGAAGTAAAAATAATACCATCCCCAGAATTGAACCAATAATAAACATTATTAACGTACTAGACGAGAAAGAAGCGGTACACCACACATTTCAACCAAAATTAAACAGAGCATGTGAAGTACTTTGTCATATTCGCCCATCAGTGAACGAAGGATAAATCAAAGATGAACATAAATTTCAGGGCCACCTTGTTCATAACATACATATTGTGTGAAATCGGGTAACCAAGATTTCACTCTGTACATTTTGGACTTTGAAAACAACAAAGGAATTTACAAAATTGACAAACTTTTGAATGTAAGTATCAAATTTGATACACCATAGAAAATATCTTATGTTCAATGCCGTCTGTGCCAAAAATACGGCCGTACGAGAAGCTACTCTAAGATCTAGATGCGAAAACGCGGCTTTGAATATTTTAAACAAATGAATGTCGAAAGAATAAATGACAGCCGGCTACATGGCGATGAGTTCACGAAACCACCACAAGGGTTGCCAAGTATACCGAAATTCTATAAATCAACGAACCAGAGAGAGGAAAGAAAATAGCCCCACCACTTAATAACCACCAAAAAGTTCTCGAAACTCCAGAATTGCCTCCCCTCCTTTCTCTCTCCACGCAAACAATATATTGTTTCAACTCAGAAAATTCCAGAATCGTAAAGAACCGCATCCATTCACGAAAAAAAACAAAACATTTAGTACCCACCTGCCCACATATGCGGTAATCCGTTATACCCCCCCCCCCCATGTAATTCTTCTACCCATCCTATGTAAAGTAACTGAAAAAAATCTTCCAAAAATTTGAAAACATTCGAAAAAACAGTAATTTGAGCAAATGGGATCGCTTATAAATCAGTTAAAGACATCAATATTCAAAATGCACAAATGGAGCTGACAAATAAAATGGATTAATCCAACACCGTAAAGAAATCATAACTAGTTTGGATATTCTTCCTAGATTCAAAACTAAAACATAAGACGTATTTGCGACGATCCATTGTCTCTAATACACAAGACTGTCTACAGAGATATCGACATAATTCCATTGTACAGCCTCATCACCAAGAGAAGCCAAATATATCAGAAGAGATAGCGCGAGCACGCTAAATCTTCCTATTTGCCTATCAGAGAAGTCAACACGAATACAGACTTACACGAAAACAGGTTAGTTATGAAACCAATAAAAAGTGTCACAGTAGTAATTTATTTCTGTTATTTTTTGTTGTACTGTAAACCATTTGCTTAATGTTCAAAAATTTACAAAAAGAAAATTTACAGAAGAAAAAATAATGAAATAAAAAGAAAAGTAAACGTTTTGGTTTCCTCTACGAAACGTCTTTCATCGTTCTTATTCAATCGCTCAGAATACACTGACAATAGATTTCGAGGATTTTCAACGAAAGTATACTAATTTGAGTCTTCTGGTAAGCGAAAGCGGTGTTTTTTTTTGTCGAAACGTCGTCCGTCGCCACTTTTTCTGGGCTGAACGTCGCTACAACTCACTCGCACATCAGTACTTCAATCACTCGTCGTCTGCCTGCGCCTCCAGACTAAATGCCGTAAAATGTGTTGTCCAAAAACCTTCCATTATCATCTAGCTCGACTCGAAGCTCTGAATTTGAAAGTATTCTTCTAAATATTGTGAGATATTTAGTTGAAGCGATTTTTTTGATGAAATTAGTTATTGACAATAAGTTATTTATAAAATCATGTAAATTTTTCTAAAAATGTTAGTTGTTTTCGCTCAATGTTGAGCAGAGGAGAGAATATCGCTGAGGAGAGGAGATACTAGTTGAAGGCATAATCCGTCCGTGTGTTAAGGTATTGTTCCGGCATTTTTCTGGAATTTATCGGAGAAACCAGAGGAAACTACAGGATAAGAGCAGGCGGCAGCTGGAGTTCTTCCAGGATCAGAACCCAAATGCGACCTAGATCTGTAACTAGACGCAAACATCCGTCACTGTCGGGCCTCGAATTCTGGGATCTCTCGGTCAGCAACGTAGCAGAGACATGAAATGATGCCACTGAGCCATCGCAACTTGTGCAAAGGGCTGTTAAAATAATAGTAAAAATTTAATTTCCATTCCACAGTTTGAAATATGCATCATGACAAAGATTCAATTTGTCAATTTTTTCGTATATCTGTACATACAGCCTCTTGTCTGTGATTACAAATCCGACAAATAAATAATTCACAAAGTTCCATAAATGGTTCAAAACATTTGATTTGTTTTAAGAACGATGAAAATTAATAACGATTTTCCAAAAACGTTTTAACTAAATTCTCTAAAAAGCTACTCAATTTTTTTTTAAACTGCCCATTCTCTCTGCTTGTTCTACAATATTTCAATGCGACTTTCAAGTTTTATTAAAACACTAGTGTACCCTAATACGTACTTGAATGAGTAAAAGTTATTAGGTTACTTTATAAAGAGAAAAATTGGAATAATTAGTTTTGTAAAAACTAATGAGTTTCTAAAATTGAAAAAAATGTACTGAAATCAAAGAAAGAGGACCTTTTTGTCGTCTTGCAAATGAAAGACCACAAACCTGCGTCCTCTACTATTTGACTGAAACGCCGGGTTCGAGAAGGCTAAGAATGTGGTACAGAGGAAGTAATTATCCGAAAATGATATATCAGAATTCGGGGAATAGAGGGTTCGATTCACAGTCTGCATAGGTATTTTTATCTTTTCTATTACTAAAAAAATCCACTAATTTAAAAATTTCTAATTAATTTACAAATTTGTCTTGCGTATGTTATGCATGAAACAGGCAAAAATCGTGACAGGAATTTTAAAAACAAATTGTAATAGACGTGTGGTATCGAGACCAAAATAACACGATTCTATTTCGGGAATACCAAGAATTTTGAAATATTGTACTGTTATTTTCTCTTTTACACGAGCAAAACTGTTTTTATGTCTTAAAGCACAAAAAAAATACTAAGAAATTGCTGTCCTAATTCTTCGTAACATCGAAGATAAACGTACCTCGGAAAGAGAGTCGTCTAGCAATTAATATCGCAGAATTCTTGTCATATCGAGAAGAGTTATCGACGTTTTTTATATCTGTAATCCACCAAACCCGCCTTGACCTCTCCTGTTTGCCTTGATATGAGCTTTATTCCTATTATACTGTTTTGTCTCCTTCGTTTACAAAGAAACAATATAGTAAATGCATGTTCTGACTGACAAACGCTTTTGATTGATAATGTGAATAAAGTTGATGGAAAGAAGATGTTGCTGTTCAGCAATTACAATTATTCTGAATGTGTCAAGTCGTTGAATTTGCATTGTCTACTTTGAAGTTAATACATTTTCTAGAAAGTAGTTCTCATGAATATTTCTGGGATCCCTTAATTCGTGAGAGAGTTGTGTATTGAGATTTCATAGTGAAGTAAAATAAATTTCAAAATTAAATTTGTTGAAAAAGAGTTTTGAAGAGGGAAATGTTCCTCGACATTGATTACACTATTGGAGTTAATTACAATATTATACAGTTATCTTCTCATTTCAGATGTATGTAGAAATATATTTTGAGTTTTCTATTTTTACACAACAATGATAATACAGATTTTGAGAAAAAAATAATATTGTTATTTTCATGTGGTTCTAAATCTATAATGTGCAGAGAGAAAGTCTTCTTGGTTACTCATTATCGCACTTTATGCATATTATGAATAGACCTAGGAATTTTAGACGCAAAAGAAGTGATGATTTGTGCACCTAAAATAGGTAACAAAATTATGAAATTAGGCACTATTAGAAATGAAAAGCGACTTTTTAGGCGCTTAAAATAGGTTAAGAAATGATTTAATAAGGCATTTAAAAACATTACATATGAAAAGTTATGTTTCTGGCATCTAAAACTGATCACAAAAGGATTAAATTAGGCATTTTTTATTACTCAGGCAAGTCAAGTATTTTTACATTTATGAGAGTGACTACTCGCATATTATTTTATTCACTTTAACAATTAGCAGCACAGTATATTTTCAAGATTTTTTTCCAAAATCTCTACATTATGGCAGTATTTTATTTGTTAAAATCAGTTTGAAACCTGAAAAGCACATTTCCACTGACTCAGGAGAACCAACCAATGTCAACCGGGAGACCCCAGGAGACCCAAAAGGACCTTCACACTGCCATAGGAGCAAAACTAAATTTAGTCACATTTCGCATCCCTATTCTTCTAGAATATTTCTACTCTCCGCCACCAAAACGTACATCACTCGACATATTATACCATATCAAGGATTTGCTTATTACTCTCTCCACTTGCACTTTACTTCGACCCCAACGGCACTCTTTGCAGCACTAATTTTCACTTCGGCTTCTTGTACCACTGACACTTGATCTGGCAAACATTTTCCAATTCGACCCAACTTGGCTATTTTTGAGGACAGGAATGAAAAAGTTGTATTTTACTGTGCCGTTTTTGTAAGCTTCGCCTTTCCGAAGCTTTTGCCTAACCTGTCTTTTTCCTCCCCTGTAATACGTAGAAAACGCACCGCGGTGAGTCTCAACCTATCAACAGCACAGCTGCACAGGGAATGGGTGCAATTGCCTAAGAAGTGTAAACCGATCAGAGACGAGCGTGAAACATCCTCTTTACGAGTATACAGACTTGCAGAGCTTCTTACTACATGAGCGGTAGTTGCATGTCAGGTTTCAGTGAGTAATTGATTGCCTCTTCTATCAGGGAATATTCGGGTTTCGGTATATCAAATGTAAAAAAAAGGAATTAAAATGCGATAATTCTTCAAAAATACTTCTTTTAGGGGGTGTACGCAAAAAATATTTAAATGGCCATTAACCGCCCGTACAGGACATTTTAGGCACCATTACATGATTTCAGTAGATGTATTTTTACATTATTTGTCAACATCTGCGAATATTTTCCACTATCTTCTAAAATAACTAAAGGCATTTGTTCTAAAATACAAGGTTTAGTTATGAAGGTGGGATTTAAGTTCATGATTTATTCATCATTCACTGATGGGTGAATATGTCGAAGTTCTACACGGAATGCTCTGTTTTATTTTGGCTGAAATCTGTGGTTTTCCGTTTCTTTTTCGACCAGCACTTTAATTATGTTTCTTATTGCTTCAATATTGTGTATGGTATTATTTTTACTTCGTCACTATAAAATTAAAGTGTGAATTCTTTTACATACACGTGTTAGCTTAGAACTTCATTAATTTTGGTATGTTCATAACATTTGGCATAAATATTCATGATACATATTATCTCATTTTTTACTTTCCCTATGCATACGTATAAACGGAATAAAATACGTAGTATATTATATTAGAAAAAGAATGTAATGCTGAGCGGAAAAACTGCGGATTTTCGGCAGAAAAAAAATCATTGCCGTGGTAACGAAAAAGTTCAATCAAGTTCAATCTAATGGTAAATTAAGAAAAACATTCCTCTAACACGTGGTATAGTCAGAATCCATGTTTTGTAGATCCTTGATACCGAATTACACCAAAACATCTGAACAACATTGGCGTCTACACCAAGAGTACCATTTCTTTCAAATTGAATAAACTCCTGTCAATGTGGCCTGAGTCGAAGTATAGCGATTTTGAAAAACATTCATGATGCCTCCAGGACATTTTCAAAATTCTCTAAAAAACGGCTCCAAACGTTTTCTTTAAATTTCTTGTATGAATAGAGTAAAATTCACTTATAAAGATGGCATAGATAAAATTTTCACCGTATACTCTGAATTTTCAATAATTGCAAAACGTAGATTTTTTTGGCGAGTTCCTACGACTACAAAATTGAAGATAGAGATTTTTCCTTCAAATAAAATTGTTCTCCATAACCATTTCTTAAATTAAAATCATGTACATTTTTTTTAAAATTTAAGTAGTTTTCACGCAATATTTGCAATTTTAAAAAATTACAAAAACAAGATTTTCTCGAAAACACTCCAAATTTTTTCTATGAACTTTTGGTACGGATTGTGCTAAATGCAGTCTACGAGGTGACATAAACGCCATATTGCTCTATTCTGTTTTAATTTAAAAAATTACAATAATGTAATGTTTTGACTCGTCTCTCACGTCGTTAATACTTATATTAGCGACGTTTTGTTCCCATAACTATATTTATGCGTATATGTGCTTTAAATATGGTCACATAAAGCATCTCGAAAACTAAACCGTTTTCTTTCAAAACTACCTCAAATTTCGCAATTTCAGAAACGCCCAAGACATCGATTTTGACTACATCACATGCTAGAGGATTTTTTTCTATATTTAGCAACTGGATTTCTCCACTCTTTTGTTAACAGGGCACGTCAATAAGAGTTTCTGTGTCGAATATTCGCAGTTTTCCGGCGCAATTTACAGTACTTTCAGTTCTTATGTTAGCAAGTGCGAAAAAACATTACGCAAAAATCCTATCAAAACCAGTTCCGATTCGAAACGTTAGATTATATACAATGTCACATTATGACATTTCAATTACTGAGCGAAGAAATATAAAAATATATAAAAGGCTACTTAGTAATTCGTTAGAGAATATTCGTTGCATCTCGTGAAGACTATTTAAAGCAAGTTCCAATAAAAGTAAATGAAAATCGATGAAATCATCAAAAATGCTTTTAAAACTGACGAAAAATGGTAAAAAATTACTTACGAGTTTCTTTCGTTTTTGTTCTCAATTTCAGTGTCCTAATGGTTAAAAATTATTTAAATTGAAAAATGCAATAAAATCATATAAAAATGCGTCATTTCCTCTAGTCATAACATAAAAGTATTGTATATTCTAAAGACCATTGTTCTAAAGTAAAAAGAAAAAATGACATTTAATTAAAATTCACATCTTACTAATAAGTGTAGGCTCTACCTTTAAACTTCCGACGACACCTGCAGATCCTTACCTAGCATAGGCGGGAGGTGCGGTTGCTTGGCCAGCCAGTCCTGCAGGTGCTGCAGGTCGGCGCGCGACAGGCGCGGGTCCCCAGCGAGCATGTGCTCCAAAGGTGGGTACGCCACCCGTAGCCCCTCTGCCATGACCGCTGCTCTGCGCTGAGCTGCAACGAGCTGCACCTGGCTGTCACACGCACACAGACGCTCGCCGCGCGCTCGCCACCGCAGTTATAGCCCTGGCCGCGTGGCCGCGCCACTCACCGTCTCGACCTTTCAATTGACAGGGTTAGGTCTCCAAATCAGGCGCTCTGGGCCGAATGCGATTTTCTCTTGTCCAGTTCGCGTGATAAAAGTGTCTCCCTAAATTCGTTATAATTAAGAATTAAATGATTGTAATATTAAGTATGGAGGGAGTTGTAAACGTTTAGAATTGGGATGTAAGCCTAGGCCGAATCATTTATTTAATTTTATTTATTTATTACAAAAAGTAAATATTCTATGTGACGTATGAAGCAAAGAGTGTCATTTGAGTACCTTGAATTGATATCGAGGATCCGTATCCCACACTTTTTATACTGAGTAGTTAATGAAATGGTGCGCGACATAACAATGAAAGTGGTGGCCAAAATTTGAAGCAGAGCCCATGAATTAAGAATAGAAAACTATCCATTCTTTTTTTTTGTATTATAGTACATTATTCATAGTATTTCAATATTTGAAAAATTATTATAATTATTATATTCCAGTGGTTATTAATACAAAACATGCTCCATCAGTTTTTCCGTTGCCTTGGAAGTTATTTTCCAGTGGAGTTGTCATTGAGGGGATATCTTTACTGAGATCTTGTTTATTTTTGTATTTACCATTATAGCATGAGTGCTGATATTACTTTTCAGCCAAAATAATTCTGCTACATTCAGTCGAGTGTAATTCTAAAAACATTTAATCGCGAGTATCGCGACAACGTAATGTTTCAGTTAATATCACTTGGGTTGTCAGTAAAATGTTAAAAACTAGTAGTGCTATGGAACCGACTTTCTCGCACTTGTTAATTTTCTAATCCTTTCAGTCTAGACCAGCACTTCAGTTTTGCCCCACTCTCTTCCCAGACGCTTCCTATCGGTCATAAAAGACATTACAAAACATTTTCTCACTTTTTGATCTCCTAATAATAGAATTGGAATATGAGTTTAATAATAATAATAACAATAATAATAATAATAATAATACAAAAGAAGAAAACTGCAAATTTGCACATTTTTATTATTTTTTAAATGAGAGAGTCGTTCGTTAGAAAATGTTCTTAAAGCGTTTCTAAAATGCGCAGTTTTGAGCTAATTTTAAAGAAAACTTTGAGTTTTCGAGAAACTTTATTACAAATTATTTAATGCGCTTGAACTCACAAATGGAATAATGTTTAAACACGCCCTAATGTCGTAAATATTAACATCGTGAAAGAGGTATCAAAATTAATTTTGTGTATTTTTTGAAAACTCAAAAGAATACATGAAAATATATTTTATGAGACGTAATTCTGTGCATTTAGTACTCTCTTTACAAAAACGTTTAAAGAAAATAAAACAGGAACAGTTTGTGATAAAATCTTTCTAAAATTGCTTTAATTTCAAGCACAATCATAAGAATTTTGCTGATACTTTAAACAATATTTTCATGACCTCATTTAAGGAGCTAATATTGAAGAACATATTTCAATCAGAAGAAAAATCTCTACCTCTAGTAATGTAGCTGTAGGAAGACCCCGAAAAAGTGTTAAAAATTAGTAATTAAAAAAAGAGAGAATTCAACCAAAATTGGATCTGTGTCATTTTTATGGGCACTATTATAAAAATATTTAATTTAAAAAAATTAAAACTGAATTTAAGGTTCATGTACAAAGAAGTTTAAAATATTAAAGTTGCAATATCCTTTCCAAATTCAAGTGAATATGGCAACAGTCATATTGTTTCAGAAATATCAATTTTGGTGAACATTGGGCCTAAGGTTAGCCGCTAGCGTTGGCCACAGACGCGGAGATATTGTCGAAAACATTTCCCGTTTACGATATCGACGGCCCACAAAACGTGGATTCGGAGTGCCCAATATGTCAGAAGTCGGGGAGTAATTTACGAATGCCTCCATTAAGAAGAAGTATCCATCTTTTCGGTGTTGGGAACCTACAATATGAATTTTTGTGATGATAAATCGTCGATTTTTTGCTGCAGCATTACATAGTTTCACTATATATTTTATATGTAGCATGCAAATAAGTAAATATTAATTACTAACAATTTTAACGACAATTAATTGTTAATTTTTCAAACCATTTATGGCAAGTTTCTGATCAGATTCGAGTTTTGAGATGCCTAATTCGAGAGTACAGTAAGGCACTTAATTCAGTTGATTATCCAATTTTAAATTAACCGACAGTTGCGGCAATCGTTTTATAAATAATCAACGTGCTCAGAATGTGAATCAGAGGTCAAGAACTCAAATACGTTGGCCTTTGCCTGATGGATACAATGAATGCAAATTTGGGAGACATGAGTGTGTGTTGGACATTTTAATCTCTAAATAAAGTTCTCGTTTTCATTTTTGCTTCATCGTCAGTTTTAAGTCAAGAGAGGTAAGTGACCACACGAAATCATTCAAATCTGATGATTATGAAATACATACAAGAATCTGATAAAGTAAAAATGGGTAAAACAAAGGAACAAAACCATGAAGTAAATAATTTTTTTAATTTTTATTAATTTATATTTTATTTATTTTTATTAAAAAATATATATATCATGAAAAGTCAGAGAACACTGCGTAGAAGGAAATATGAGCGGAGAATTACTAAAATTTCTTTCATTTGAAAAATCTTAAAAAATTGCCGGAAAGATTCATCGACGTTGTGTAAATGTAGTGTGATAAGCCATAAAACCCACTTGCATTTTGAACAGGGTTAAAACTACTTACAACGACGTTTCAACGACAAGCCAAAGAATACGCGTTATTATGACAACCGATCAACAAGATGTAGTAGTATTCGATGTTTGATGACAGAACGCTACACATTTGTGGAGTAGAGCCCCGAGGACATTATTTACAGGAGGTGTGGAGATGGCATTGGAAGTCATGGCTCAGTAAGAATATTGAAATAATCATTTTCCTGCCAGCCATCGACTAGTGAGGATGCAGCCAATGCGACGGTGCGAGAATTATTTCTGTTGAGATTGGGTCATAGTTTAATGTTAGGGAAGCGGGTGACATAATTAATTTCCATAGCTTTGTATTGCATAAGTTAAGAGGCCAACGCTACCACTTTAGTTTAAGTTGAATTTTGTAATTTGTGATTTAAATGAAAATAGATTCCGTAGCCAAAGGGATTTATGTTAGAATAGATCCGTAGATGGGGAGAATTGTTTAACAAGTGGAGCTCCAAGAGAGAAAGTAGACAGTCGCGCATATGTGTTTCATCGAAGCACAAGCAGGGCAAGTCACGCTCGCGAATTAACTTAATTAAGTACATTGAAGTCTAAGTCTCCTGCTAGAAAATATCACGATACGAGTAACACCAACAAAGATATACGGACGACATTAAGCCTGGAGATGTAGAAGTCAGCAGTAAATTTAAAATAGAAGAGATTTCACAGTAATTTCACGATGAATCGAATAATGAAAAACGCTTTTTGAACACCAGCAATGCAAAGAAATGGTGCTTCTAGTAACATCATACTGGATGCACATAACACTGGAAGAATTTAAAATTAATTTTGATCTAATAACATTTATATTGAGCTTATCAAAGATATAATTACTTTCCTTTGCACAATACATAAAGTTTAGTGCGGTTTCAATTAAATTTTATAAGCTTACCACTGTAGGATCACACCAATTAGTGTCACCCCATAACTTCTAAATTGTTCAAGAAAACGATTTCGAGCAACAATGCGGAACCATGAGCGTAGTAATATATTCTGCAGAGATATTGTTTACAATATTTTTAATTTTCGAGACATTTAATCATCTAGGATTTTTTAAATAGGACTATTTTCTCACTCGCACTGGATAAATCATAAAAGACGAATACATTAATCATCATTTTAAAGTTTTGATAGTAAATTGAGAATAACATTTTCTTTTGGACATGTGATTTTCAATTAAATAAACGGTATTTTCTTAAGTAGCCCTTGCAACTGTTGCCCCTGGCCCCGAAGGGGGTGGGGGAAGACCGGGAAGGGTGTCGGCAAGGGATAGAGGTGCAACTGCAGCAATCCATGGTCTTGACACGAAGGGCCCACAAACATACGTCAGCACGTCAGTTAACGATCAGAATTATTTTATTCATTCCTTCATCAGATTGAACATCCTCCGATTGAAATTCCGGAGCATCGATCTTTGGAAAGAAAAAAATATTGATAAAAATTTTTCAAGTAGTAAAAGGGATCGATCTCGATGTCCAATTGCTGTAGGATCAAACCAGCGTTTTAAAACATTCCATGTGCTAGGGAAGGGATTCAATGGCCGAAGATTTTCACTACGATATCTCGGGATAATTCATTAGATCTCAGAGCAGAAGAAGCTTGCTATTTTATTTACTGTTACCCAACTGCTTACTAGTACAACAGTGTACGAAACAATACAACAAAACAAACTTCGAAATTCTATTGAAAGAAAATAACTTCGTAATCGTCATATATTTACAAAATGAAATAAGACGTAGATAACTGTAGAAAAACAATAAAATATATCATTATAAATGTATCTCTATCATTCATATCAATCTTACGACTGAGAACAAATTATTAGTTCAATTTAAAAAATACAAAGATGATTAAAAGTCTCGAAAACTAAAAGTACGACAAAAATGTCTACGGCATATTAATTGTTGCAATGTATCCTGCCATTGTTGAGCAAAGTTCGATGTCGTCAATTATTTGCAAGTGGTGGGCGATGAAATACGACGGACTTGATTGGGGAGTTATGTAACTTTATAATTTCATAATAAAAGTTGTACTTGATTTACAGTGAAAATATGTCATTGTAAATTAACATTTACAATACTTTTTAATAGAATGTCATTTACAATAAATTACATTCCTTTTGTGAGTTTCTTATTTTGTGTGTGTGTGTTAATTCATTTGATACACATAACTGATGATAATAATATTTTATTTTTTTAACGATTAGTTCGAAAAG